AACCTATTCTTGAGTCATTGAAATGTAACAATCTAGAGTCATTTAAATGCTAATAAAATGAAACCGAAATGCATAAATCCAATATTGTCAGAATGTTCTCCTGGATTCCCAAGGGGCTGGTGCATCAGAGCCTGATGGGACCCCAGAGAATACTAGTCCAATCTCTTGTGTTGGAAACTGAGGCCTGGGGAGGAAAGGGGCTTAGTCAAGGTCACACAGCAGAAGCTTGGAAAACAGGGAGGGGCTTTTCAATGGGCTGTGGCCCCAGTTGGCTGTGTGACCTCTAGTGTGTCACTCAACCTCTCTGGGCCCAGGACTAGCTATCAGCTCTGCCCTGGCCCATGTCTTAGCTTCAGTTGCTATCACAGAACACCATAGACCAGGTGGCTTAAACAGCAGAAATTTATTTCTCACGGTGCTGGAGGCTGGGAAGTCCAGGATCAAGGTATTGGCAGATTCAGTTCAGGTGAGAGCCCACTTCCTGGCTTACCGTTGGCCACCTTCTCATTGGCCTCACATGGCCAAGAAAGACCATCTCTTTCATGTCTCTTTTTATAAGAACACTGGTCCCACTCATGAGAGCTGCACCCTCATGACCTAATTACCTCCCAGTACCATCAGACTGGGGATCAGGGCTTCAGCATATGAATTTGGGACGGGGGACACATTGGGTCCACAGCAGCCTGTGTGCCCGTTAACTAGGACGGCACTGACAGCACAGCACTGAGAGCTGGCTGCCAATGAACCTCATCGCAAGCTTGCGGGAGGTGGATGGGTAGGAGGGGGCTTGGGGGAGTCACAGAAACCAGCACTGCAGAGTGCCTGCTGCAGGCCAGGTGCCACACCAAGACCCACACACCAGGGTCTCAGTGGGTCCGTACAGCAGCCTGGAAGACCAGTGGGTCCGCTTCATTCTGCAGATGAGGCCTAGCAAGGTTAGGTGACTTCTCCAAAGTCACGTAGCACATTTAGTCTCTCAGAATAGAATGTTGGCTCATGTCATGTTTGTGCAAGGCAGCAAAGGTGTCGGAGTCTGGTGGGCTGTGGCTGAGGGGATAGCTGCCTGCCCTAGCCTCACGCTCATGCCTCATTATGACGAAGGGAAACTGGGAAGCGGAGGACAGGGGATGCATCTCAAAGAAAAAAATATATGTCCTGATTCTGATCTCTTTCTTGACACCTAGTAAACCTGTAAGGTAGTCGAGGTAGGAGTCTCCAGCCCATTTTACAGATGAGGGGCATGAGGTGCAGGACCTCTCTAAAGTCACACCTCCCGTGGACGGATACCCCAAGGGCTGATCCAGGTATCCATTCATTCACCAGGCATTGATTGGAAGCCTTCTGGATGCCAGGCACTGTACTAGTAGAAAATAGACATGGCTACTGGCCACACAGAAACCCCGGCTCCTGGGAAGGGAGACAGCTAAGCGAGCCCAAGCACTCAAGTGTGAATTGTGGTATAACACAGAGGTATCTGGGAGTCAGGAGCATTTACACAGCCCTGGGTGGTCAGGGAAGCCTTCCAAGGACGCTGAGGCTGAGCCGGACAGACCGTCGTCAGGGCAGTGAAGGCCCGGTTGGAGGCTGCTCTATTAAAGATGTCGGGCGGTTCTGGAGGATTCAGGCAGCTGATGGATTCTACCCAAACTACCAGGTCTTCAGCTCTATCAGTCTGTCCGAAGATAATTTTTATGGCGTCATTGAGTGCTTCTGTGCTGGTGAGCATCATGACCTCAAATCAGGCAAGTTCCACAGTTGGGTCAAGTGAGCTCTGCAACCTCGAAGGACAAGCCAAGACACCCAGAACATGAGTGGCCTCACGCACACACCCGTGAGGTGCAGGAGCAGGGGGTGGGAGGGGTGGGGGCGACAAGCCGCATCAGAGGTCTCTGCAGTGGGAAATCTTAAAGAAGGAAATTTAACATCAATTACCTCCCCATGGAGTTCTGATTTTTAACCAATTTTTAACCAATTTTCAACTGATTTTGTTCTCCCAGAGATTCATTCTTCCATTCGTGTTCACATGGGTCTCTTCCTGTACATCTAACTACAGTCCACCCAACCTTTTACTAACAGACAGTTATATATTTCAGTTTCTTTCACTCATTATTTGGTTTAAGACTTGCTTAACCTGCAGGGGAAAAAATTCTCTGGGACTCCCTGTCGTGACAAGCCCATCATGTTATAGAGGTCATTCATTTAATTGTCTCTCTCCCCTCGCTGTCAGCTTTTGGAGGGCAGGGATCATGTCTGGATTATCAGTACCTGGCACAAAGTAGGTGCCCACAACACAATGAATGGATGGCTGGATGGATGATGGATGGATGGATGGATGGATGGGTGGATGAACAGATGGGTAGATGGATGGATAGATGGTTGAAGATCATTGTTCCTCTTAACATAATAGTCATTAAAATTACCAGAAGTCCATTAACTCATGTCTCCTATTGTCATCGCAGTTATAATTACTGCTAACTCTTCTCATAGCTCGTGCTGTCAGAGATGTAATTATCGGTGCCTATAAGCCACGCCACAGGTAGCAGGGGGACAGACAGAAAACAGCACCTCGGGGCTATAGAGTCTCTTGTGGTTTGCAAAGCACTTTCGTTCACATCTGGTACTTCCTTTAAGCATCCTAAGAACCCCGGGAGGGAGATTCACCTGGAGAGGCAGCAAAGCATCCTGATTAAGAGTATGTCTCTGGATCCAGACTGCCTGAGTTCAAATCCCAGCTCTGCCACTAGCTAACTCTGTGGCCTTGGGCTAGTTACTTCACCTCTCTTGGCCTCAGTTTCTTCACAGTTTCTGTGGGAATACCAAGCCTACCTGTCTCACAAAGTGGTTGTATGGACTGGTCATGATCACAGTGATTGGTGCTCACCAGGTGCTTGGCTCGGTCCCAAGTATTTGACACAAAATAATTCATCTAAGCCTCATGATACCTGCAAGGCAGATAGCGTTACTCCCCCTCCCTTTTTTGAAGATAATGAAACCAAAGTTAATTTGCCTCCTATTCTGCTGAGAGGTGGCAGAACTTGAACCCAGAGACTGTGTCTTCTGAAGCCCCTCCAGCTAACCTCCGCGGCATCTCTGCACACAGTCCTGCCTGGTCCTGCCGCACCTGCTCCTCTCTCAGATATACCGTTGGGGTCAAAGTTCATGGGTTCTGGCTCGATGAGCAAGGACCATCCCACACGTTCCTTGGTGTCTCGTGTCTCTTGCTCGTGTCTCTGCTTGAGGCATCAGGTCCATTTTAAATTCTACTCTGTAAAATACCGGTTGGTCCCAGTGTGAAAATAAGGCTTCCTGCTGCGTCCTTGAGTGAAAGTGCCCTCTTGTGAGGCATGACGGGCTTCTCCTGTGGCTCCAGCACCCCCGACCCAAGCTGGGAAGCCCCGTACCCCAGGTGGAAACACACTGGATTTTAATATGGTTCATAATTAGTTCCCAGTAAATTGGGAGGTCGTAGGAGGACAGGGGAGAATGACTATTATTTTACAGACGAGGAAACTGAGCTTCGGAAATGTGAAGGGACTTACCCAGGGTCCCACAGCCAGGATTTGGGATCGCTCAGATTTGAACCCAGATCACGCTGGTTCCAGGCCCTGTGTTGTTCACTGCCCTCAGGCACAGTCCTCCCACCAGCCTCTGCTCTTCGAAGACAAAGGAGGGAGCGCCCCCTAGTGGGAGGGGAAAGAGCGATAGGCTGGGAGTCAGGAGACCAGCCCATCTCCACTCTTGCTCTGGGCAAGTTCCTTTCCCTCTCTGAGCTTCATGTTCCTCACTTGGAAAACGAGATTAATCCTAAATTATCTCCAGCTCTAAAATTCTGTGCAAGAGGAAAAGATTGTGTAGGAGAGAGTTGGGGAAGGGGAAAGGGAACAAAGGAGGAGGTGAGGCTGGGGCGGGGGCTCAGTCCCATCTTCCTGCCCCCCCCACGCCATTCCCCCTTGCTGTCCTGGACCTAGGATGGCCAGCTGTCCGCGGCTGCTGGGCGGGGCCGGTCCCCGTGCCAGACCCAGCCGAGCTCAGCAGAGGCTCTTTGTCACCCAACGCTTGCCGGGACTTGGCCACCGGTGTTGGATATCTGGGTGGATTGGGTTTTCTCCTGGCAGCCCCACAGATGCCACACTCCTGCAAGGGTGGCCGGGCGGGCAGGGAGAAACCGGTGCTCCCTCCTCCTCCCAGGCTCCCGAGGAACGTGGCAGCCGCTGTCCGTGGTGCTGGACCCAGGTGAGGGCTCTGTGACCCCCAGCATGCTAAGGGCCGGTAACGTCCTGATGAATATGCTGAGCTGGATCCTCTGGCCAGGCCAAGGGCCTTGATTAATGTGGTTGCAAGCTGCAGGCAGAGGTGGACTGCTTTCTCCATCCCTGTATTTATGAGACCCAAGTGGGGAGAACAGTGGGCATCGGCAGATGTAGGAAACGTGGACGGGGAAAGCATCTCTGCCCAGAACCTGGGAGTTACGTACTTGGGGGAAGGGGGGTGTGCCCCAGATTGTGTGCTCATGGCATGTGTGTAAACAGGGCTGTGAGCATGGGTGTTTTTGAGGGGGTGAGGTGGGCATGTTAAGATGATGCCTTTAAATGTGAACTACGTGTGACAGTGTGCGTGGTGGGGACGGGGTGTCCACCAGGGTGTGTGTGAAGGGACCCACGAGTTGGTGAATGTGTGGCAGTGGTGTAGGCCTTAAAAGTAGGTTAGGTATTGCACCCTGAGCTGTGTGTGGACACCAGGGTTCGTGTCGAGAAGTCAGTGTGTTCCATAACGCAGTGGATGATTAGGTGGTTAGCGTGTGTCATGAGGGTGCAGCAGGCTGTGCCTGGAGGTGTGTCCCGTGGGTGTCAGGACATTTGGGTTTACACTGTGTGCCAGTGGATGAGGAGGTATTGTGTGTGTGCGTGTAGTGGGTGTTGCTTGGGGTGGTGTGTGTTTGTGTAGCACCTGCAGGCTAGGCCTTCCTGCGTCCCTGTCCCATGAGGCCTCCAGCTCCTGACCCTCGTCACCACTCTGTGCTTGCCCCCACAGGAGCCACCGCCCCTGACCATGTAGATGCCAGCTCTGGGGAGCAGCATGGGCCCCACTGAATGGAGACTCCTGGGTCTACAGCCCTGAGCCCCTCCAGCCCCTGGACCTCGCCCCACACCCGGGGACGCCCCTTGGAGCCCAGCACCACAGTCGCCAGCCCACCTCAGCCACCCCCGGGGGTCAGCCACCAGGAGCCACAGCCGTCCAGTGAGGTTGTGCTGAGGACAGCCGCACAGCGCCATCGCCTGACTGCCTCTTGTCCAGTGGTGACCCTCGGGCACACCCCGAGCAGGGACTGCAGCAAACATGGGTGACATGACCAACAGCGACTTTTACTCCAAAAACCAAAGAAATGAGTCGAGCCATGGGGGCGAGTTTGGGTGCACGATGGAGGAGCTGCGCTCCCTCATGGAGCTGCGGGGCACGGAGGCCGTGGTCAAAATCAAGGAGACCTATGGGGACACTGACGCCATCTGTCGGCGCCTCAAAACCTCATCTGTCGAAGGTAGGTGCGGGAGGCTCAAACAGGATTTGAATGCAGAGGTCAGTCAGCCCCTGGGCTCCCTTCGCCAGGCCCCAGGAATCCCCTCGTCTGAGCTTGAGCATGGAACCAATGCAGCCAATTCCAGCCCCCTGGCCCCTGCTGCTGGGCTGGGTCCTGTCTGACTCTCAAATCCAGGCTCTGATTGGGGTTGCTGGGTCTCTGGGGTGGCTGTAGAGCTGCTAGGAAGACAGAGCAGGTGGGCAGGTGGGCCGTCACGGGAGAGGCGACAGATGCCCATGTGTGTCTCATGCTGGAGATGGGTGTGGGGCTTCCTTACACCTGCAGGCCTGGAATCCCCAGGGAGGGGACGTTTCAGGTTCCTGGGGGCTCCTCTGGAGGGGACCAAAGCCAGGTCATCTGCTCCAAGGTAGAAAAGAAAGAAACCAGCCCAGCTTGGGCACCAGGTTTCAGGTCCACATCCCCATGGTTACCTTCCCCTCACCGTGAAGGAGAAGAGTTCCTTGCATAAACCCCAAAGGCATGGGTATGAGTCACTCCCAGTCCTGCAACTTTGTGCAAAGAGGCTGCACTGGGCCTCAATTTCTTCCTCTGGAAAATGGGGTCAATGCCTACCTCATAGTGCCTAGTAGAAGCCTGAGCATACTGTAGGTGCTCAATATGTGGCAGCCATTATTATTCTAAAGGGAATGGGTGACAGTTCCTCCCCCAGGTATAGACCACAACCTGGAAGGCAGGCAGCATCTGAAGTCTTATCCCCACTGACAGATAAGAAATCTGAGGGCAGGGAGCCCTCCCACACCACCTCCTAACTCCAGTCCCCGTGCCCGGGACCCCGCTGGGCACTATCCCTGAACACATTTCCTGCGGTGGCTGCTTGTGGAGCTGCTCAGGGGGCCAGGCGGTCCATCTAGTGGTTGCTGTGTGGTTGCCCACTACACCCGGTGCCCCACCCAGTGTGGGGCCCTCCTCTCCTGGGTCAGGAGGAGAAGCTAAGACTGGTCCTTCTTCCCAGATTGGCCACTGTCTCTGATGTTTTGCCCACATGCTGAGTCTGGGCCAAAGTTTAGAAACACCTTTTTCTTTCTTGGTAGTGTTGGTTTTGTTTGGTTGGGGAAGGGTGGAGAGAGAGGAAGCATCCTTTCTTCCCTGTGTGATTCTAGTTCGGGGCTTGAGAAGAGCCATGTGTGATCCTTAGATGGGAGTGGGCTTGGCCTGGGCGCTCCTGGGCCCCAGCCTCATGTGGCAGAACGGCCCACACTCACCTCCACCATTAGGTTGGTACACCTGGCCTGCTGGGAGGCAGAGTTGTCCCAGTGGTCTTTGAATTTTGAATGGGACCAGGAGATTCTCTTGAGTCAGGAATTCTTAAGTGTCTTTGGGCCTCAGACTCTGTGGAGGCTATGGCTCCGCTGATGGAAGCTATAGCTCCGCTCCCCAGAAAAACAGCCAACAACATGCAACAGTGTGGCCCACAGCATACCCACACTATAAGCAGATTCACAGAGCCCCTTGAAGCCAGACCCTGGACCCCAGGTTAAGAAATCTGCCCTCTCCTCCAGCCTCTCAAGTTCTCGGACCTGGGAAATTGAGCAGCTCTCAGCCAAGTTCCGGCGCTGCCACTACCAGTTGGTTCATTGTATCCCCCATCTGTACTGCTGGGGACAGCGTGTGTGTGTGCCTGAGGGCAGGAATCCCATGCTGCTCCTCTGTGAGCATCCAGCACCCTGCCTGGGGCCTGGCACAGAGCCTGGATAACTGCCCTGTGAAACCCGGAGCTGTGGTCACTGAGTCCCCAGCCCATAGGGAGCAGCTCTCAGATGGCTAAGCAGCCAAAACAGCGGATAATCCAGATTGAGTGCAGCAAGGGCCCCAGGGATCCGGAGAAGGGAGACAGGTGGGCAGGGAAAGTCAGGGAAGGCTTTCTGGAGGAGGAGGAGGTGTTTGAACTTGGCTGTGGAGGAAAGAGAAGGCAAAGCACGTGACGTGGCACAGAACAGCATTTCTTAGAAGGAATTCCTAGATGACTGGTGTGCTGCAAGAATTTAGGCATTAATTGAAAAAGAAGGGAGACTTCTCGTCTATAAAATGCAAAAGATAGTAACAGCTCTGACTGTTGCTCTGCTGCCTCTCAGCTGTGTGCCTTTGAGGCTTTTGTCTGATTTCTCTGGGCCTTGGCTTCCTAATATTTCATTAAATGAGGTCTCTGCTGGGAAAGATCCCTGAGAAGGAGGAAAGCCCATGGCAGGATTCAGTAGAGCCCCTGCTGCCCTGACCCCCGCATGGATCTCCCAGGTGCAGGTGGAGCTGGACAAGGTTTGGGGAAGGTCAGAGGAGCTTAATGCTGCAGACCCCAGACTTGGACGACTTGGCGTCAAATTCCAGCTCTGCCATTTAACAGCTGTGGGATTCTGGGCAAGTTACCCAGCCTCTCTGCACCTTAGTTTCCTCGCCTGTAAAACAGGATGATAGTAGTGCTTCCTCATAGGGTTGTGGCAAGGATAAAGTGAAGTAGCTTAGTGCAGTGCCTACAGGGCACGTGGATAGCCCTGTGTGTTAGGATTCAGCCCCAGAGCTACACACCTCCATTTCCCCAGCAGTAAAATGGGTTTTGAACACTGAGTGGATCAGGCCAAGTGCCCAGCATGTGGTCGTCAAGCAGTGTCCGCGCTTGTTTCCCGTGTGATTATTGCTACTCTGGAAGCAGCAATCACATTTTCCAGAATGGGTGGAATCAGACTCTTCCAGGACACTGATCGGCGTCATGGTGGTGCCACACGTTTTACTAGGCATTTTAATCACCCGTGTCCCTGGAAGCAGGTGTTGGTACCCATTTCACAGATAGGAAGCATGAGGGCTCAATGTCACCACCACAGCTCACATCAGAGACTCTGAATACAGCTCCGTCCAACACCACGCCCAGGTGTGCCCTCAGCCCCGAGCCACTTGCGTGCCCTGAAACAGTTCTGTGAAGATGCCCTCTGTCTGCAGAGAGCCTGAGGAAGGTGGGGCCACCAGGGAACTTACCTGTTTCTCTCTCCTGCTCAACATTTGTCCCACCCTGTTTGGCCCTCTTCTGACTTAGAGAAATGTCTGGCCTCCAGCCCCAGCCCCCAGCTTGAAAGCCACGTGGTCTGGGGCTGTGCCCACTCTAGACAGGGGCTCAGGTTGGCCCTTCCCGACACCCCCAGTCTTCACCTGCTGACGGGACCAGGGAGCAGCCTGAGTCAGCCCCAGAAAGCTGCCCCAGGCCCCACATAAATTAGCCTTCCTGTTCACATCCAGCTAGTTTTAGGCAAAAGGAACTCCCCAAATGATAGAGGGGGTTTGAAGCCATAGAAGGGAGCTCCCACCCAGGGCACAGGCTGCCCACACAGGCCATGAGCTCAGCTCCCACGGCCTGGCAGTGTTGGACGTCCCACCCAGTCAGGTAGCCTCTGCCCCGTCCTGAACACCAGTCCTTCCTCTCCCACTGCCAGTTCTGTTCCATCCTGGTAATGCCCTTCCCTTCGGGCCCCCCACTGCCCTCTGCCTTCCACACCCATCCAGCCTGGAGCAGTGGAGTCCCTGAGATGCAGGTTTGAATCCTGACTGGATTTGAATCCTACTGTTCAAGGAACACTGGAGGGCTGGGGTTCAGTGAATCCTCTCTGAACCTCAGTTGTCCTATCTGTGAAATGGGGTTAACAACACTACCTACATCACACTAAGTTGTGGGGATTAAATCAGACCATCCAAATGAAGGGCTCCGTGTGGCGTGTGGCAGCCCCTAGACACTTACAAAATGATGTTCATCATCTTGTTATTATTAGTATACTCAAATATCTGTTTTTAAAAAAAAAATGCTTGGTGGGGAGTGTAATGGCTCAGTGGTGGAGCGCATGCTTAGCATGCACGAGGCCCTGGGTTCAATCCCCAGTACCTCCATTTAAAAAAAAAAAAACACTCTGGTCCCATCCTTGTGCAAGAATTAGGCAATGAAATAAGACAGTGCCCAATAAGAGTCAATGTGCTATCCAAGGAGGCTTTGCAGGGAGGGTGGCTTTGCATTGAATCTGGAAAAATGGGTCGTGGAAGTGGGGGTGGCCTGTGAGCCCTGAAGCAGGAGCTGTTTGTCATTCTCCACTGTGTCCCCAAAACCTGCCATAGTGCCTAGGGGCTCAAAAATACTGGCAGACGAAGGGAAGGAGGGAGAAGAGGCAGAGGCGGCTCTGTACCCCTCTTCGTGTGGGATGGAAAGCGGCAGCCTTGGGACAGGACGCAGGACACCCTGTGTCACACACGGAACACTGGGCTTCTGTTCCAGGAGCCTGGAGCTGCACTGTCCTGAGCGGCTCGTCCCTTGTGGCTCCTGTCCTTCCCGTCCTGACCCCGCACCGCCAGCTGTCAGGAGCGAGTCCCGAGAGGTCCTGTGGGGTGCTCCCTGCACTGCATATTTCATGGTGGGGGACAAAGGGGACAAAGAAGACAGGGCAGCAGCAGGGTGGGGTGGGAACTGGATACATCGGCGTGTTGTGAAACGTAACCTCCAGTTAATTTTGTATGACTCCTACAGCCTGCCCAGTGGACAGGCGGAGCAGACCGGCTGCTGGCGGACAGGGGAGCAGATCGTGGGGGATGCTGCCCCGTGTGGCAGGAACACGGCAATAAACAAGACACCCCACGGACCAGCAGGGCCCCTGCCACGCACAGAGCCACCGCCGGCTGGGCACGGGGAAGGGCCTGAAGGCAGTGGGGGGGTCTCCTATTTGTCACTGTGACTCTGTTCCTCCTTGTGCTCCGTCTCCCCTAGGATCTCCAGGGCCCTAAGGAGTCGACAGGGAAACTGAGGCAGCCACACATGCAGCGCAGTGTCCCAGGTGGGGTGGAGCTGGGGCCACTCGGACACAGGGTCCACATGGGGAATTCAACACCTGACCAGAGATGAGCAGGAATGCCTCCCCCTGGGTCTTCGTGTGAAGCATAGGCTCCATTTTAGGGCCCAGGACTGTCAGGGGCGAGGC